TCGACAGAGCAGCTGTGGCAGGTGCGAAGCACTTCGCCGGTTGGTTGATCGCATAGGGTAAATCTAATGCCGCTTCATCGATAGACTGCACTGAGACTAAGATCGTCAGCTGCAGTATAATAGTTAAGCAATATACAGTTTCTTATATATTGGAATGATAATGTAGTACGATGATAGTCGTTTGGTAGCTATTTAGATTGTGTCAATACCAGAAGTTGGATTCATTGGCAGTTGTATTAATCGAGATGAACAACTTTAGTACTTATCTGACACCTTCAATTCTGCACCGGTTACTGATCATATTCAAAAGACAATTAAGTGAAACACTGCGGACCACAATATATTAAGGAAACCTAGTGGCTGATCTCGATTAAGGGTGGGAAAAGACTGGTCGAAGTTTGAGCTAGATGAATGTCTCTATTTTCTAGATTCTACATCGACTTGTATCGAAATTAGAAGTGATATTGACTAACTTAAACGGAAAACAATACGACTTAGTAACACACAATGCAGAAACTAAATTCTCCTAGTGACCAACGACTAACGGTAAAACTGAAAGCGCAGTTTAGTACGTAAAGGAACGAAGAACGCCTAGTGAATTCTTAATCTGAATCATGAAGCTGCATTAATTGTAACGCAGGCTCATGAATGGAAGTTAATGCGTATTCCATTAACTCCCATTCAAGCTTACCCAATTCCACTTTCTTATCGCATGTCGCGACGCGAGTCTCTTTAAAAATTCGCGGCAGGATCGCCTAACGCGTTCACTGTAAGACTCGCGAAACAAGACGCGATTTTTGGCGGTCGCTGTTTTTCGCGCTCATACAAAAATCAATGATTCTCAAGTATTTTACTATAGTTACTATTTATTCGCGTTTTCCGTCTAATATCAGTAAATGAGTCACGCTACTTTTACCGCGAACGCAGACGAATGGTCTACGCGCGACGCGACTACGCAAGACTATATTAATCATATTGTAAGCTATTATTAAGATATGACAAGATTCTGAAAATTTTTCGAAAAATCAGTAAGAGTAACATACCAGGCGCGTAACAAAAACAAACGGTGAATAGGATTTTCACGGGAGACGCGCCGCGACGCTGTATCATGTGGAAAGAAAAAAGTGTCGCGTCGAATCCCGAATTATAATTTTTTCCAAAAATAAAAGCTGGTCGCGATCGCGCCGCTACAACAGCCACTTCTTAGCTATCGTGGTACAAGTTGCGCGAATTTAACGCCGTTGCGTAGCGAGGATCGCGTTCGCGACGTAAATGAAACAAGAAAGTCGGCTTGGAGAGTTTATCGCTTTGTGCAGTATACAGACTAAGATTGGCATCGTGGGCATTTATTAGAGAAAATGCTCTTACATATACACTGAACAATCGGGACTAAGAAGAATGCTCAGTTACATAATATGGAATATAATGTGAATGTTCCTGGAGAATATAGAATATGGATTTGAATAGAATATTTTAAGTCTGAGCTAGTTGTAAGTGTGCTTCACGTAGGATCGTAAATATGACAGGGAAAACCAGTGACCTAAAGCTTGGATTAAATGAGTAGGGATCCCTCTTTGTGCGGCTGAATTGGCGGTGCCAATACGAAAACTATGTGCAGTATATGTAGCGTCATTAAAGCTGATTAGCCCGTAGTACGTGTCGTAAGCATTGTACAAAAATATGCCAAGTCACTGAAGTTTGATCGGGTTGAAGAAAGAAGGCCTGCTGCACGCTGAATGGATCACCTCGCCGACTTACATACGGATTTAACGAGGTTACAGGACACAAATTTGTATTTGTAGTGAACATACAAATGCATATTCCAGACCTGAATAGGTCGGTTCTTGAGGTTTTCAGACGAATAACGGCTGTTTGATCATTTGAAAACTGAACATCCGCCATAGTCACATTAAAATTAGCTTTCAGAAATAACTACCCAGCACGAATGAAACCGAAGAAAGTGGTGGTGAAGGCTGCTACTAACAATATGCCCCGGTAAAATGAAAACGCCCCAGATCGTAATTGTGTGCAAAGTTGTTGGAGAATTTTGAGAGTGATAGGCAGTCGTTTATCGCGATGTTTGAACTGCATTCGTTTGGTGGCCTTGAGTACCAATTGTACCAAATGATAATCCACGTTCCTCTACGAATCGATTATTCAATCCTGCGATCATATGAAAATATTTAATGGACGCTAAATACCATTTGATAGTGGAAAATTGTATTTTTCTGATTCCGTGACAATAAGCAATAAAGCGTATTAACAGATCGAGTATTATTGAGTTATCATTAACTCCGAACATTGTTATGAAATTCGAAAGAAGTTTATAACCTGATGTGTACGAGGCCTTAGTCGGTCGCGCTACTAAGTGTGTTAATAATTCGTTCACGATGTTGTCTATTAGGTCTATGGAAACATTGAATCTTGCGATGGTGATTTCGATCTCGGATAAGCAGCGACTGTTGGGCCAGACGGCGAAATTCACCTATCTTAGAACGTCAAAGGCAATCCGCAATTAGGTTTTTCGTTTTAGAGAGATAAGTGGCTATAATATAAAACGAACGTGTTGCTGAAATCAAGGTCACTTTTCTCATCAGTTTCATAATGAGAGGTCAACGACATCGACCTCTGTTAATAATGTGCACGACACCTTGTTTATCGCAATACAATCGAATTCGTTTATGTACACAGAGTTGGCCCCAAATACTTGCAAATACCACTATAGGATATAATTCGAGAAAAGCAGTTGACAGTTTATTTGACAGTTGAAGAGCTTCTTGAGATCAAATTGCCGCAAACCATTCTGAGCTAAAAATACCACCAAAACCAACGGATGTACATGCGTCGGTATGAAAAAACAAATTGGTATTCTATGTATAGTTTGGTTCAAGCGTCAAGGCAACGCCATTCCACGAGTCAATAAACATATGCCACATGAGGAGATCTGGTTGCGTATCTTTGTTGACGTACACATGATGATTTAGATTATCGACGGTGGTAAAAAGTATCAACAAGAATGATGTAAATGAATGTCCTGTTACGACCACTCTGGTGGCAAAATTCATGTAAAAGAACAAACTGAGCAAATCTCTTTTAGTGCATTTGCGATGATTCAACATTGACTTAACTGTAGTTTGCATTTTTTCGACTTCTAATGGTGACACGCTAGCAATCATCAGGGTTGTATCCAACAAAATACCGAGATATTCGAGAACATGGGTTGGTCTGACCGTCTTTTTAGCTGGCAATGGGATACCAAGACGACTGAATATCAAGGTCAACAATGCCATTGTTCTATCACCTGATATATCCGGTGGATCTCCTGTGAAAAAATCATCGAGTAGGTGGAGAAGATTTTCAATACCGTAATTCTTCATAGCAGTCCAACAGACCGCAACCAACAGCAAATCCAACAATTTAGGTGATGTTGTAGAATCAAATGGTAGTCTTGAGAAGGAATAGTAGTAGCTTTGCCATTTAATTCCGTAATATCTCCACAAAGATGGATGTATCGGGATAGTTTTAAAGCATCAATCAGATCGTATTCGCAACGCCAACTACCAGGTGTTAATCATTGAATCAACTCTATGGTATCGTCAATTCGGACATATTAGAGCGTATTGTCTTATTTAACGATCGAACCATTCAAACTGAGATGTTCTGGATTATCATACGGCGAGGACAAATCAACAATCAATCTGTACTTGTCAAAATATTTGTGTTTGAAAGACCGATATACGAATCTCAGGGTGATGCATCAAACGGACATATTACGTAGCCTTTGTTAACTTCTTCGTGTAATAACCTAGTGGCAACGAATATCGTTGATTATCGTTTAAAAAAGCGTCTTTGCACTAATAAGACAAACGGAAATAACGTTTCGAAATATAATTTAGTAGGAACACTAAATTATATTTCGAAACATTATTTCCGTTTGTCTTATGGCTAGGATTCAATATATGATGCCTAATTGCCAAGACTTTAGCAAGCGCACGGATATTCACCCAATTTCATTATTTTTATCAAAAATTAGTTTTGACGGAATTTTCTTATTTTTGATGAAAATAATGAAAACGTGGCCTCTGTATTGCAGATTGATTTACTTTGTCTTCATGCAAAAATGGTTTTCCTCACTGTGCAAAAAAAAAGTAGACAGACAGTTGCAGCTCTAATCTGAATGTATCTTTATAAGGTTTATGGTACTTTGTCCTAATAGTTTGTCAGGAGAGCGCTCGTCGATGTCTCTGATGAGAAAAATATAAACTATCCTATTTGTAATGTTTGCACATCCGTGCTCGAGATGAACCTCCTTACATGATAAACACACGTGAACATACGAACAGTTTTGACAACGATATCCGCCTTCACCATTAAAATGATTACAGATTTCTTGGCCGTTATGCCATACTCGTGGTCGACCTTTGCTATTCAATGTTGAATGACAAAATGAGTTTGAAGTCAAATTGATGATCACTGCTGGTTAGGAGTCATTGCGAATCCAGTGACTGATTGCTTTAGCTCGGGGTATTAGACTTGGGCAGAATGCATGGATGTGAGTAGCGAGCGGATTTGCATAAATCACACGTGTGGGACGAAGACAAGAAAAAATATTGAGAAAAATATTACGATCTCGTTTCGCCAATATAAACGAATATTACGAAGTTGAAGATAGGCGGCTGCTTTTGCTGAAAAAGCTTGATGATACGTATAAAGATGTGTACCATCATATTTAGTATGCAATTGTACGACGATAAATAAATAGTTCATCAGTTCTTTACGGCGAAACAGATGTGTCTCGCACATAATATTGGCGTATTTGTTGAATGCACTAACGAATTCACCGAAGGTCAATGTCTTGTTCAGTCTTGGATCATGCGAAGATTTTAGATAAACACAAGATTCGCCATTATCAGTCTCAACTCCCCGACAATTTTGACTTCCTTCATAGTAACAGCTGTGCAAGATTAACTTCGGCTCCTTCCATAATGCGTTTCCTTAACTTAGGATGGACATATTCGATGGTACCATCTTCCGTATAGAGTAATGCATGCATCAACAGTATAATTATTTGGCAATGGTAATGGATCCGTCAATAAACTAAACACTGGCTTACCACCTGGTGATTCATACGAAGAACCAGATGTTATAACCGTTTTAGCATTCGAGATAACCGGCACTATTGGTGTTGATGATGGTAGTGGTACATGGACAACTGCTGATGAAACTGGTAGTGAGGGCAGAACGATGTTTGGTATGATTTTCATTGGTGTGGGATCGTTACGTGCATCTCCTGCATCCGTAGCATTGACATTAGCCTTGCACCAGAAGGCGCAACGATGCTCATCTGAGCCAAACAAACAATCATTTCTTTTTCCGGTATTGATGTAGATCTGGATTGTTGCTCAATTCGTTTTGTCGCACTTCTACGTATGGAAAGAGGATGAACTGTGGGTTTTGTATTCTTACGTGTTCGAACTCTCTTTGGTGGCATGATAGATAATTAGAATCAGCGAACTTCACACTAACGTAAGAATCGAAGTTTGAGCTAGATGAGTGAGTGTCTCTATTTTTTAGATTCTACTTCGACTTATATCGAAATTAGAAGCGATATTGACTAACTTAAACGGAAAGTAACACAACTTAGTAACACACTAAATATAGAAACTAAATTCCCTTCGCGACCAACGACTAACGATAAAACTGAAAGCGCGGTTTAATACGTAAAGGAACAGAGAACGCCTAGTGAATTCTTAATCTCAGTCATGAATCGGTGTTAATGGCCTCCATTAACTCCCGTCAAAATAGCATACGCTTCCATCATCCTCGCATAAAGCATGTAAACAAAGTTAGAGTTAGCACTCAAAGTTTGCGTTAATAGTAGAAAGGAGAAAAAGCAACAAAATACAGTGATAAATAACAGTAATAAACTGAAAGCGAAACTAACCCATGTTAAAGAGTACTAACCCTCTTAAAGAGTACTTCGATGCTGTCGAGAGCAAGGAGTAGAAATTAACAACAACAAAAATGCAGAATAGTAATTGCATCTAAAATTAGGCAAACATCGAATAACACCATCATATAATTAGCATCAAAGACCGTTAAATGTATAGCTTTAGGGGTGACCACTTACCACCAAACTTAAATGCGCTCCCGAACTTCACATTATTAGTTTATTTTGATTAAACGCTAAAAGAAAACATAAAACAGCGATTACCAAAAAAATGACAGCTTACATAGATACACTACTAAGTAGTTGATATAATTTTCTATATTTAACATTTTGAATATACTTACATTAGTCTAAAAAGAATAATACAATTTTGTATATAAATACAAAAAACAAAACAGTTGTTGAAAGGGACGGGTTTTATCTCTTTTGTACTCTTTTTTTTAAACTATAGGCAATAATGGGGATTTTTAGTTAAAAAGTGAAAGTGTACACTTTTTGATTTCGAATAATGAGTAATAACTTCTAGACTATGGGCTATCTTTTTTTAAAAATATTTTTCCTTATAG